GTTCCTGCGTCTCCCGCGCGGGGATGGCGGCGGGGGCCGTCGCATCCCGTGGTGAAGGCGACCGGGAGCCCGCCCTGCTCTGTCTTTCTTGGGGGTCGGGGTCCCCATTCTCTCTCATTCGCCCCAGGCGCCTAGAGGCTGAGCCGGTCCGGAGGCGGGGCGAGCCAGCTGAGGCCGGGCGCGCGTGGATGACGTCACCGACGCGTGCCCCGTAGCCCGTAGTAACCCCGAGTCTGCGGAAGTGGAGACCTTCGGGCAGGCAGCTGAGACAGGTAACCCGCGCGCTCCCGGTTGGGTCCACGGTTCCTGCGTCTCCCGCGCGGGGATGGCGGCGGGGGCCGTCGCATCCCGTGGTGAAGGCGACCGGGAGCCCGCCCTGCTCTGTCTTTCTTGGGGGTCGGGGTCCCCATTCTCTCTCATTCGCCCCAGGCGCCTAGAGGCTGAGCCGGTCCTGGGGACCGGGATGAGCGGCCAGTCCTGTCCATGTCCAGCTCCGCTCTCAGGAGGTGATGGGCTCCGGCTCTCCCCGCCGGCGCACACCCTCCCTCAGCCTGCAGCTGCTGCCTCTGTCCTCGCGCCTCCAGGCCCGTCTCACCCAGCCCCTCCGCCCCCAGCCCGCAGGTGCACCTCCAGCCTTGCCTTGTCGAAAGAGGCGGAACAGTGTCCGATCCCGTTCATCTCCGCCTGCAGCCACCGCCACACCGTGCCCGCCCCAGGGTGCTCACTGGGTGTTGTTGTGCCTAGCGCGTCCGTTCGCTGTCAGGGTGGCCCTGTGCTCAGTACAGCAGGTGTTTGTTGGGTAAGGGGCGGCGCAGCCCTGATTGCAAATGACCCACCTGGGAGCCAATCACCTGTTGAGATGGATGTCACAGTGTTAACATTTCATTAACAGATGCTCCTGGTTCCTGGGTTTCTTTTTGGTTTCCAAGCAAAGATAACCACTGTTGCAAAGGTAACCCATCAAAATAAATAAACAAGAGAACCCCAGGAGGAATGTGTGGACCGCAAAACAAACAAAACCCAACAGTGCATATTCATATTGTTGATAAAGGAATATGGGCTATTTCGAAACCAACCAGAAAAGATATGGGAGGAGAAGGATTCTGAAACCTTTTATCTCATTGGTGGCTTGTCTTTTCTTGTACTTTTAGTATGTTCCATTTTTTAATAGGGCATATTGTTCTTCATATAATTCTGGGAAGCCTACCAAGTGACTTGCTCGTTGATACGTTTTGGTTGTTATTCTTGGGGGACAAAAAAGAATAAGTTTAGAGAATAATCGTAGTCACTCATTGTTGACTGTCTACTGCTATATTCCAGTGTGTTCAACACTTTGCATGCGTGTTCTCCTTTGCCCACATTGGGAGCTAGGAATTATTATCCTCAATTTACAGAGAAGAAAAGAGACTCAGTTATGTGAAAAACTTGCCCAACATTCATAGTAACTAAATGGTGGACCCAAGCTTTAAGTTCAGGTTTCCTTTCTAATACCTTTAGTATTAAGTTCTCATATCTGGAATTCAAACCTGGAAAACTTAATTTATGATCTTTCTACACACATACATGCACGCACACATGCACACAGACCATCCTTAAGAATGAGCTAAATGGCAAATAAGATTGCTCAGTCTGACCCTTTTGTTTGGCGCCTTCAGGGAATGAGTAACTATAGATAGTTGAAAGTTTTACCCCTTTAGAAATGAAAATTATACTTTTACTGTTTTGGATAGAGAAATATCTATTGTTCTAAACCAGTGGTCGGCAAACTGCGGCTCGCGAGCCACATGTGGCTCTTTGGCCCCTTGAGTGTGGCCACGAAGTTTCAGTCTCACTGTACGTGTGTGCCCGCACGTGGTATTTTGTGGAAGAGCCACACTCAAGGGGCCGCAGTTTGCCGACCACTGTACTAAACAATTCCTTCTTAAACACTAAATATACTAAACATTTTAATTTTCCCTATCTCAGAACAGTCATTATGAATGCCACTTACTGTGTATTATGATGATTTCCTCAAACCTATTATTATATTTGACTCACAAATTGTTTTGTATTTTGAGTTTGCCTGTATTTTACGCTGTCCCTCCTCATGTCAACAAGAGATAGTAACCATTGTAATTAAAAGCAGGAACTGGGGAACCACACTTCCAGGATTCAGGTCCTAGCTCAACCAAGTATATAGCAAGATAGTGGGCCAGGTCAAAGTACTTGACCTTGCTACACCTCAGTTTCTTACTTATGAAATAGGAATAGTGACACTTTTCTCACAAATTGTTGTGAGGATAAAATGAGTTAGTATATGTAAAGAGCTTAGAATAAACCAGGCTTATTGTAAGAGCCATATAAGTGTTTGCTGATACAGGGTGGGGTATTAGCAAATACAGTTGTGAGTATGCAAAACAGTTTATTGTTATATTATTAGTTATGGATTGTATTTTTCCATACAAAAAACTGTAAACATACTTTTGCCCCGCTCTGTTATTATTAGTCTAGTTTTGACCTTAAGTTCTTTGAATATTGCATTCTGCCTCTTTGGAAATTGTTATTCCTTGAGTGATAGTTGATATATTGTAATTACTAGTTTACTAGAGAATTAAATAATCCTAACTTGAATCCCTTACCCTAAGCCGTTTTAGGAAAATATTAATTTATTAAGTTCACGTTTATTGTTTTTGTACTGCAGTAAGACTTTTTCTTGGGTGTTTGGAGTAAATATCCAAATATATTACTTTATTATATGTATCAAAATAATGGACTTGTAATTTCTGTTTTGAATTTGGGTTATATTTCCATGGTTTAAATTGTGGTTTACCAATACATGAAACCCTCTCTACTTTTGAATCGAATGTCACTTGTTTACATATCCATTTGTGGTGCCCTGCACAGGTGTACTTTTGTACTCATGTTATCATGATCCTATGTGGATAACTACCTCTTTACAAACCCTCCATTATGCATAGGCCATTCCTAAAGGTATCTCTTCAGTATAGTTCTCTTTCTCTTTCCATTCAAGGAGCCAAAAAAAAAGGATGTTATCAACAAAGTGAAATAATGTTCCTTATGAAATTTTCAAAGTATGTACCCATTTCAGGAGTGTATTTTAAACTAAGGCCAGCTAAGAGTTAATACTGACTCATTTGGTGTCCATAGTTAGGAACTTGAGAGTAAGTGATCTGTCCTTTATTTTAAGACCGTTAAGGCTCATGCTAAAACTTCCTGTTGAAATATAGGCTATATATTTTTTTTAAAGTATTTTTTATTTATTTCAGAGAGGAAGGGAGAGGGAGAAAGAGATAGAAACATCAATGATGAGAGAAAATCGATTGGCTGCCTCCCACACGCCCCCTACTGGGGATTGAGCCTGCAACCTGGGCATGTGCCCTGACCAGAATCGAATTGTGACCTCCTGGTTCATAGGTCTATGCTCAACCACTGAGCCATGCTGGCCGGTCATATTTCAACCATTTTTAAGTGTGCAGTTCACTGGCATTAAGCACATTCATAATGTTGCTTAAGTATCACTATCTTCCCCTTCCAAATTTTTAATTATCCCAAGCAGACACTCTGTACCCATCTATAATAATAAAAGCGTAATATGCTAATTATACCGGAGGACCTTTCAGACGGCTCCTGGTTCATAGGGACTCTGTACCCATCTATAGCCTGTTGGCGGCCAGAGGGAAGCCTGGGTCTTGGGTGCCAGAGGGAAGCCGGTGCCAGCAGCCGGGGGAAGAAAGGCCTACTCTTGCATGAATTTCATGCATTGGGCCTCTAGTTAAATAATAAATCCCCATTCCCCCAACCTCCTCCACGCTCTAGCCCCTGTTAACCCCTGTTCTACTTTCTGCCCCCAAATTTCCCTATTTTAGGTACCTCATATAGGTGGAATCATGCACTATCCTTTTGTGTCTGGTTTATTTCACTTAGCATGTTTTCAAGGTTCATCCATGTTGTAGCATGTATGAGAATTTTATTTCTTTTTATGGCTCAATAATATTCCATTGTATATGTATACCATAAGATATTGTTTGATGCATATTGAATTATGCTTTTTAAAATTTTCCTTTATTTTTAAGTTTATTTAAACTAAAAATTAAAAAGCAACATTTTACCCATTTCTTCTAGCCCCCTTCACCTGCCACTGGTTGCCACCAATCTATGAGCTTGCTTTTTTTTAAAAAAAAAAATAAATTATTTTTTGGTTCCACATATAAGAGAGACCATATGGTATAAGTCTTTCTCTGTCTTATTTCACTTAGCATAATTACCTTGAGGTCCATCCATGTTGTTGCAAATGGCAATATTTCCTGTTCTTAGGATAAATATACACAAGTGGAATTGCTAGATCATATGGTAGTTGTATTTTTAATTTTATGAGGAACCTCCATACTATTTCCCATAGTGGCTGCACCAACAGTGCCCAGGGTTCCCTTTTCTCCACATCCTCAGCAGCTTCTATTATTTTTAGTCTTTTGATATTAATCATCCTAACAGGTGTGAGGTGATAGTTCACTGTGGCTTTGATTTGCATTTCCCCTGATGATTAGTGATTTGGGGCATCTTTTCATGTACCTGGTGACAATCTATATGTCTTCTTTGGAAAATGAGACTTGCCCATTTTTAACCAGATTTTTTACTTTTGATTTGTATGTGTTCTTCATATATTTTGGATATTAAATCCTTCTCAGATATATGATTTGCAAATATTTTATCCCATTCAATAGGTTGCTTTTTTATTTTGTTGATTTTTTTCTTGCTGTGCAAAAGCTTTTTAGTTTGAGTAGTCCCACTCGTTTGTTTTTGCTTTTGTTGCTTTTGGTGTCAGTTTTAACAAATTATGGCCTAGGCCTGTGCCAAGGAGTTGACCACATATGTTTTCTTCTAGGAGTTTCTTGGTTTCTTCAAGTCTTATGTTAAAGTCTTTATTTTGAATAAGTTTTTGTATGAGTAAAATAGGGGTCCATTTTTGTTCTTTTGCTTGTGGCTGTCCAGTTTTCCCAGCATCATTTATTGAAGAGACTGACCTTTCCCCATATATAGTCTTGACTCCTTTATCATAAGTTAATTGGCTATATACAGGGTGTCCCAAAAATGTACACACACTTTGAATAATTTAAAGGCAGTATTTATTAAAATACATTTCATTTTCAAAATGAAATAGAATCTACAGACATGGGGTATATACATTTTGGGGGGACGCTCTGTATGTGTGGGTTTATTGCTGGGCTCTCTATTCTGTTCCATGCATCTATATGTCTGTTTTTGTGTGAATTAT